AATTCTTAAAATATTTTAAAGACTTGGGATTCCTTTATATTAAATAGTTTGTAAAAAATAAATACATATTAAGAATTCATTTAGGTTAATCTCGTATTGTATAATCCATTTGGGTTAGTCCTTGATTAACCATGGTTAGTATGATGATTAAGTCCTAATTTAGGACGCCCGTTACACATTTCAAATCAATTACAAATCAAAAACTATGATTTTTTTAAAAATATTCAAACACCCCTATACATGTCAAAATCAATTATGAACTCATAGCTATATTTATCCAAAATCAATTATGCTTTTCAACTATACTTTCTTAAAAATTTATCCAAAAACCATATAAAATCTATTTTATAAATCATGGTTCAGGGTTTATAGTTTATTTTGGCATATACATAGATATTCAAATATTAAAAAAAACATCTATCAAAAAAACCATGGTTTTAGGTATATAATTAATTTTGACATGTATATATTTGGATATTTTTAAGAAAATTATAGTTTTGAGTTCATAATTGGTTTTGACATGTAATAGAGGTATTTGGATATATTTTCACAAAACCTTTATTTTTTGGCCTTTAATTAAAATTGATTAATTTTTGTATCTAACTAAACATGCACTTAATTTTTCTCCATCTCATTTTTTTTTGGATAAAATGACAAATAGTTCAAATACAATTAAAAAAAATAAAATATAAAAACAAGAAGATAAAGAAAGTATGAGAAAGATGAAAGATAAGAGTTTGCTTGAATGGAGGGGGATTTTAAGCTTTTTTTATGAACCATGTTAAAGTTGGTGAATAGAAAATGAATATCCCTCCAATTTCCACTCAGGTCCTCCCACTCTTCTCCCCTCTCCTTGCTCTTGTTCTTACACTTGCCTCCTTGTCCTTGTCACTGCCTAAACTCCCAAACCACCTCCCTATTCAACATTTTGATGCTGACGTGTTACGTCTCTACTTCTTTCCCAACATTAAATAAGGAATTTATATAGTACTTCCTTCATTTTAAAATATTTTAAATAAAATTTTACATAACAATAAATTTCATTAAATACATTTAATAGTTTTATATTTTCACAACAAAAATATATAGTCTATTTGAAAACATGTTTTGAGAATATTTTTTTATTTTTAAAAATAAAAGAATAAAAAAATTTATTCAATGATGTGTTTTTATAAAGTATTTTGTCGGCTTGATGGTTATTAATTTTCAGGGTAGCTAGCGACCACCATGGACGTCCGACAGCAGGCGACCTCGCTGGCGATATATGCAAATTGTATTGTTGTCAAACTTCCGTCCCTCTCTCTCTCTCTCTCTCTCACATTCCCAGTCTCTTTGATGAACAAGAACTAGAGATTATGTTTTCTTAATAATGGATCACTTGCAAAGGACAAGAAGACGATGTTTTGCAGTGAGATATGAACTGTAATGGCCAGATGGGTATATGATTCTCTTCAACACAGGCATCAGTCACTGATATAGAAGGAAATGTTGAAAAACTGAGATGAAGAAGACTGAGATCGTGACGAGAGAGAGGAGCTGTTGGAAAGATGCTTCAATGGGATTGTAGTTTTTTTTTTTTAATGATTTTCTTTTAGAAATTTAAATTGGAATAATCTAATTTTTAGCTCATTAACTTTGCTTCAATTATCTTTGAATTTTAACTTGTAACAACTTAATTCCTCCATTTTATTAACTCAAAATACATAGTCCTTTTTTAATACATATCAATATCTGAAATTCTTCATTCAATAAATTATAAAAATTCAATTGTATTGAATTAAAGTTGAAATATATCCTGTTGAAATAACTACCCTCGTTTAACAACAAAATAAGTCTCCATCGCAAAGTTGAAATAATCTATTTTGTTTTGTAATAAAAAATTTAGTGACATAATACATTTTATCATAAATTAGAATAATTTAACCACATAATGAATCCCTTCAAATGTCATTCTTGTCCTTCTACTTCAATGTTGATGATCCCAATGTTCATTATATTATTATTTTTTTGCCTATTTTACTTCCAATTCTCTCTCTATTTTTTTGGTAATTTTGAAGTACTCAATATTCTAGGCATACCTCATATTTAGTTTAGGAGATTTGTCAAAACTCAAACTAACTTTAAATTGACTCAGGTCAATATTTTTTTAGGTGAAAACTTTATTACTGTTTCATTTTCAAAACTCAAATTTAAACCTCTTTTAGCTGATTCAGGGTGAGGTGAGTACTCCAATTCACTTTATACTAAGAGAAACCTGAAATCCTTGTGATGTCACTAGAAAAAAAAAACCACAAATCATATTGTCTTTCAGATCAACAAACGAAAAAAGTTTAAAAAGAATTAGTTTATGAAAGATAATCACGAAGGAATCACTTGGCAGCAGTTGCCGAATGCTGAACACAAAGTTGAGAGTGATACGACGAACAAGTCTTTGAATTAATTAAATATTCAAGTTTTCTTTTTCTTTTTTTTTTTCCTTTTGTTTAAGATAATGCGACGTGTAAGTCTATCTGTGCTATCCACATGTCAAATAGTTAAACAGCATCTTTGACTTAATTTCTACAATTGGAAATTCTTTTCTTAAAATATTTGTTCTATTATTAAAATATTCCAGCTATTCAACTCTATGCCCCTAGGCGATCCACCCAGAGTCAGTTTTAAACTTTTAATGCATCGTGGAAGGTTATATTTTCCGCCAAACTAGATTTCACTCCTATGACATTAGCATTAATAGTAGTTAAATATTAAATATCATAAAAGGAGAACTTTTGAAAAGTTGGTTCACGGCAATTGTAAAATAAATGTTCTATGATAAAAACAAAATAGTTTGAAACAAATTTTTTTATACTCCCTCTTATCCAAATTATAAGATAACTTTGGAGGAACTTTATTGTCCTAAAATATAAACTAATTTTAAAAAAATAATGTTTCATTAATTATATTTTTTTGATATTACTTTTCAAGTAGAAAAAGAATTGAAATGATATTATAGCATAATGATTAAACGTGTAAAGATATTTTTAAAAATTTACAATTTTATTTTAAAAAAGAAATTTGTAAAGTGTTATTATTATGTTTTTATTAGTATGCGTCTATATGTAATTTTGTTTTAAATTATTTTATAATTTGAGACAGAAGAAGTATATATTATTTGGCCTAAAATGCCCCTGGGCCAATTAAATGAAGTTGGGCCTAGGTAACCCAATTGAGCAACAATCCAACTAAGGGTGGGAGTAGGCTAAGCTTCTATTAAACAACCTATAGCCTACTTAGTTGAGCCTGATTTGGCCTAACCTATTTATAAATAGATAAGGACTAAAGCTTGCTTAGAGGCTTATATACCTAAATAACCTAGACCTGAACTTTTAAAGCCCAGCTTGTATAGTTATATTTATATATTGTATTATATTTAAATTTATATGTTTACATATTATATTATATTTAAATAGATTTTAAGCCTTTAAGCTTATTTAAAATTTGAAATATGTAGGCTTTGAAGCCTACATAAAAATATAGACTTTGATAAGTTTTTGAAGTAGACCCATAAAAAGATTTCAAGTTGAGCCAAGCCTATAGCAAGCTCGAGCTTGGGCCCAAAAAAAAAAGCCTAAATATAGGCTCAAACTTGAGGCCTACCAACGGGTGCTTGTCTTGGTGACCTTGACAGCTTAACTTGGGATCTTGAGTTCGAATCTTAAGATATGTAGCAGTGCAGCTAAGTATGCAAAGTATATCTCGCCAGCAGTACTTGCAAAACTCCTTCAAAGAGGGCCCCACCTAAGTGAGGATCCGAATTAGTTTGGAGTGAATTTGGTGGGTAATAAACCCAACATTCCCAAGCATTTTAGGATACTGGGTGTGAAAGTAAAACAAAAAAACAAAAAACAAAACCCTGGCCTAGACTGACCTATTTTGACACCATCAGAGAAGAGGAGCAATGCTAGTTTAAGTGAAATGTTGTGCATTGAACCCATCTATCCGGAAGCGCCATCACCCCCTGCTACCCTGAAGATGCGAAAAACATCGCCTACCACGAACACCCAACGGCGGAGCAATTATCCTGACCACTTGGCAAGAGAGATTTGAATTCAAGCTTGAAGCAATTGCTTCTTTCCATTAAAAAGAAGAAAGCAGCCAGAGGCAGAGAACCCATCAATGAAACACTCAAACCCGACTACCCGACAGTCAATTTCTATCAAACTTGCAAAGCCTTACTTTGTGTGACTTTGTAACTTTATGCACTTGCAGGATTAGATATAGTTTTCAGGAACTCATACGTTCCTTATGCATGGTACTTATTCCCATTTTCTTTAATATATTTGATTTCTCTCAAAACTGAGCCAATTGTTGTAATGTGGGGTTATTTTCTATTGTTTATTTTGATTTATTTCTTTATATCTTGAATCTACATGCCATACATAGCCCACTAGATCTGTTTGTGGCGTTCATTTTCTTGTGTCTACAAATATCTTAAGATTTTATGTACTAACCATTTTATCTTAATACAAATTTGACCTATATCAAGGCAAATTAAACAATACCATTACACTAGGAAGATATGGAAACTTCAATGTTAATTGTCTATTTTTTTTTTCGTATCTATTTAATTATAAGCAAGTTTTGAACTATTTTAAACTAAGCAAATTGAAGTCTCTAACTTTGTATATCCTCATTCAATACTTGATGGAGATGGTTGTTTACCCTTACCACAATCATATCACAAATTATGATCAATGAAATAAGTACTTCTATCGAATCCACTTGGGACGAATGACGAGCAAAGGAAATTCATTACCAACCGTTTGATGGAGATGCTGACTCGAGAAAACGCTCAAGGGAATAAAACAATAACCACAATTTTTCCCATCTATTCTCGAAAAAAACCGATTACATAAATAGTGAAGGACCAGTCTTACCATTAAATCCTAACAGATACCGGCAACTAGTAGATCAAAATTGGAGTAGACATAATGCTTACAAGGCAATAAAAACAGCGAAGGTTAACAAGAAGGAGCAGACTACTATACCTAATTCATAACCAAACAACATCCACGTCAGCAATATGCTTAAACATTTACAAAAATACTTACAGATTACCAATTATCAAATTGGCAACCGAATTCAAAACCACACTTGAGGCAAGCCTTTGCGACACACCTCCTACACCCGTCATTGTGAGGGAAGAGGTTTTAATTTCAACCCACACCCATGAGTATCGGTTATATCCTTATCAATTAGGCCGATCTTAATAATATGCCTTCAAGGCATTACAGAATTCCAACAAGCCATGCTAAGCTTTCACTCATCAATGATCATCTTCCAAACAAAAATATCTACAGTGATGATTGGATATGGTTTTGTTATATATTCAGAAATATTTACAAGAGACAACGTGGTTCAACATGATTAGGATAAGTATTTCTTCGAAGCCCTCTAAACTTTTAAGGACCAGAAGCCCAGAAAGCACCTTTATCCGAAGAACGAATAACATGGAGCCAAAGCAATTCTGTGTTAGGAGCTTAGCATCTTTCGAAAATCTTGTACAGCTTCTCCAGAGAAGCAACCTGGAAAAGGAACGAAAATTTTAAAAAAAATAAAAGACATACGTATAATCTTGTATAATTCCAAATCTATCCCCACTTCACCAGAGTAGCAACTTGTAAATTTTTTTTTTTTTTTGGATGAAACAATTAATAATTATTAGCTGTAATTTAGAACTACATATACAGCAAATTCCAGAAATACAAGTTCCAGAGAGCCCCTTCAATCATGTTAAGAACCATACCATCCCAACTACTCAAGCTAGTAGGTGAAGATTAATTCATGCCATATTTCTGACATGGCGATTAACAAGCCAAATTTGTTCAGTAAAAATATGGCATTACAAGGCCAAAATACATAAGCAGATAAGCAGTAAGGATTTCATATGTAACCATCAGGGGTGATGAGATTTGAATGGCACAAGACCAGAAACGAGTTATGAATTCATGCAGAGATATCATATATTTACCTGAACAAATGTTCCATTAGTAGCCATAGAAGCAGGCGGTTTGAAGAAGAGTCTCATTGATGGAAATAGCACATGTTGTATAGACCATTCACGCTGGGACCAGGCAAGCTGTGCCTCAGATAGCAGTTCATGATCAAAATCATTCTCCAACATCTCATCAGCCCCTGAACATGAAACTCACGGAGGTTAGATGTCACTAACATCTTTCACCCGAAAAACGATAAACTAGCAGCAAGTCACTATCATCTAGCACAATGTTTCATCCGAATTATGAAAGATGAAATTCCATGTCTTATCATCTAATTATATTGCGAGTGCCTCTTCTTTCTTTCTTTTTTTTTTTTGGGGGGGGGGGGGACTCTCATGGTCCCACGCTGTTAATTACGGTTCTTCAATTCAAGATACCAAACCACCCATGCTTGTATTTGGCTCTATCACAGCCATGGTTCATTAACTTGTCAAGTCCCCCACTTCTGCATTGCATATCAGCATAATAAATTCAAAAAGTATGTAACTACCACAACAAAGATGCAGCTGAACTTGACATTAGCATCTTAGAGACGAATTCCCAACAAATAAAGAAATCAAAGACCACAATATGGACTATTGAGGGAAAATTTGACATTTCCATTGCAGTCAGCGTAGTTTTGTCGTTTACTTGAGCTCGTCGTCCAAAGCATAGTTGTTGAATTTAATGGAATTCAAGAAGACCGCTGTATTATTTATCTATAAGATACTGCAACTCCCAAATCAGAGAAAAGGGTAGTAATTGAAAGATTTGGTTGTTTACAAGGGAAAAGGATAAGTAGGAAAGACAAAATAAAGAACAAAATAAAAAGGCAAACTAGCCTAGCATTTAAGATTTTTCCTTGCCTCTTCTCAGAACTCTAGCAAACATCAATAACAACTAGTTACAGCACAAGCTTCCCTCTTTCCTCCGTCAGCCAATCTCATAAATAGATAATGATGCTGGTCCTTCAAAGATTGAAACTAAGGTCATTTGGCCAACTCCTAAGAGCCTAGGGCCTAGGAGAGATTATGACTGAGAGGCTACTGTGGGAAGTTTATCGAGAACTCAGTGAAGATTGCAGAAATGCAAGAATTATTGAAGGACCCATTCAAATAAGGCCGATAGAACCTTTGAACAGGTCAAAAAAGCCATGGTGATAGTCCTGACAAAAGAAATGCCTGACTTTAGGCTTCCATTTGAAGGGGCAGCTGATACTTCGAGCAATTAGGGGCTATCTTTTGGGAAGACCCCTCCAATATTTCACCCTGCATTATCAGAGAAGACAAAGCAAGGGTCTGTATAGAAAGGAACTAAATGGCAGCATTATTTATCTGAGCAGCCATTTCTGATAAGAACAAAATGCCCTTAAATTCTTGCCACAGTGCTAACCCAGACCACAAGAAGTGGCTCTCAAAAATAATGGGATACCCATTTGCGATGCATTAAAAACCAGAGGCAGAAAATTGAGCTGTTAATGCTTCACCTAGGAAGGATAGTACAATGGAAATGGAAGATAACTGCTTTCAATCCTACAGGGATGACCCCTCTTAAAGCTCTTTAAAGGAGTGATCTAACAATAATGTTCACATGGAAAGATAACTTGACAACGGTGGAAGAGATGAGCAAAAAGTTGATGGAATGGAATTTGATCTCAGCTGAAATAAATTGGAGCAGGCACAAGTCAGAATCAAGTAGCATGCTGACAAAAAAGGAGGTGGAAATTTGACATAGATGATAGTGTTGATGATAGAGCAGGTGAATTTACTATGACATATCAAAGAAAACCAAGGAAGACCAAGAGGATAGAAGAGAACAATACTGCTAGTTTAGTTGATTGTCCTACCGATCCTGGTTGTATGTGGAAAGTGCAGGCCTAGTGATGTGTTGTGTACTGCCAAGAAGAGGCATGGTTTGTGTTGGGAGTAGTGTTAGTTACTTCTGAGTTGTAAAAGCCCTTCTTCTGTAGGTTGGAGGGTTATGTAATGTTTTTTGTAACTGAGAGTGGTGAGGAGAGTTCTGGCCTCTCAAATTCCAGTGTTGTGTGTATGTTCTGTTACTGTGTTTCTTGTATTTCTTTGATAGTCTTTGCTGTTCAGGTTGTGCTAGGGGAATATGGTTTTGGCTAGACTCATTGAGGTTCCTACAAGATAGTGGGAAGGTTCAGGAAGGTAGCCTATAAGCTGAAACTTCCTCGCATAGCAAGCATTCGTCAGGTGTTCCACGTTTGACAACTTTAAAATTCTGTATATACTGTCCCAACACAATCCATTCCTGTTTCACGCCCTGAGGAAATGGAGTAGCATGTGCAGCCTGAAACAACACAAAAGTGAACCATGACCTACGGACAGCAAGAAGTGCTTATCAAGTGGCTTGGTCTGCCTGAATGTCACAGTACTTGGGAGGATAAGGAAGTAATGAAAGTGCAATTGCTCACTTTCAGCAAGAGATGAGGGATAAGGAGAGACTCTGTGGGGAGGGAAATAATGAACCCAGCATCAACAAGGTTAATATGAGAAGCAAAAGGGAAGACACTAAATCAGGCAATTTGTATGCGTGAAAACAAAAGGGACGTCCATGATGAGAATTATGGGTGAGGTGGCTAAAACAGAAGGGAGTACAAGGGGAAACTAGCTAGAAACAACAAACTATATTGTAGTGCATGAGGGTGAGCAAGAAAGCGGCTGTTTGTGATATTATGATCAAAGGAAGCAGCTGAGAGGGATTTATATAATTTTCTTGGCAAGGAGTGGGAGAAACTGGCCTCAAAAACCAGGAGTGATATTTTCTTCTCTTATTTTCTTTGTTACTACCTTAAGCCTCATAATAACACAGTTCAGCCAACTACTCCCTCTTTCTGAGGAGATAGAAGTTGCATTCCCAATATAATAATACCATAGCTGAGCACCATAAAGAAAGAACTCTCTCTCTCCTACGTTTTAAGTTTCTGAAAGATATTTGCTAGGCTTACTCAAAGATCAAGTTTAACATTTTTAAAGCCCTAACATAAAGATCTTTGCTTCCCAAATATCTCGTTAACAGTCATACAGCTAAAAAATGAAAATAAAAGAAAAACTGAAAAGGAATGGTTCAGAAGTTCAACCAAACTAAGAAACTGAAATAAAATAAATGGTTATCAAAGATATGGATAACAAAAATCCAAACAAACCAAAATAAAAACTAGCCCTAGCTCTCACATTGATAATGCTAATTAACAAATCAAAATAAATACAAATAAAGAAGCATCTGTGTCAACTAGCTTCAGGAATTTACAATCAATCTCCAAAGTCAAAATATACATTTTGGACACAAATTGCAGCCATACAATCCATACCAGTAATGTTGCAAGAATTTTGCTCGGCACAACTTAATTTTCTCTTCTTGTAAAGCCGCAATCCCTCACCAGAAGGGTTGGGCAACATGGGTGGATGCATAGCGTAGAAATTTCCTAGAGCTGCCGCAATTTCTTGAAAGCAGTTCTTTTCATCTTCCCAATCAACCTGCTTATTAAAAAATAATATTACATTCTACATTCTTTCAAAAGGGAAGAATAATAACATGAACAATATCAAACATTCATGATTATTTTACAGCCAACATGCATATGGTTGCAAGTTTGGCTCAGATAGTCATGGCCACAGCCAGTAAAGCTTGGTGAACACAAGCTTGAGTCCCAATCATACATCCCATAGGAAAGGGGAGATGTTTAGTTGTTAGGAAAGCCCCATCAAAATGAACGGAACTAAACCAATGTATTGCACAGACATGATAGCCCCAGTGATATTCATCTTTAGCATATTAACTAAACTAAGGCATAACAGTATCGCTGACACTGTAATGACTGATCCGTGAAACAGACAGTTCAAGATTGCCTTGTAAAATCAATGTCTGCATCGTGCCCTGAAGTAGTGTCAAGTGTCCATGTTACTTGGTTACTGACAAGCTAGATATACAAATTAGGAATAGAAATCACAACCTTGGGGAAGAAGCAACAGATCAGAAAGAGCAAGAGAAGCAAAAGAAGTACTAACATCATTTCCCAAACAAAGCACAAATTCTGGGATGCGATCCATATCAGGAGTATACTGATCAAGTATCACAGGAAGTCTAGATAAATTTCCAAGTTTGTCAATATGTATACAGAAATGAAACTCCAGCATTTCAGCCTTCTGTTTCAGTAGATCTGTGTTCATCTGAAAAAAGTGTCAAAGAAATGCATGTCAAAAATATGAGAAATATAAAGAAAGCAATTTACGAGACATTTACATACAGATAATTACAATATTCTCACACAACGCACAAAATAAGATTACAATACTCTCAACTATTTTACCCAGATTCTACTTTTTTTTTCCCTACTCTATTTAATTTGAATTTATTGTAGAAGACAGAGGTAAAGTGACCTCTGTAGCTCTAATTTGATAGTCATTATGGAGTACATTAGGGCAAAATATAAGCAGTAACATAAACCTAATCCTATGATCTTAAAATATCTTTTAGTAAATCCTAATATCATAGGTTTATCTTCTAAGATATATAAAATATTAACAAGGATATAATATTTAAAGTAACAAAGATATAAGATATTAATGACATAATAATAATAAAACTACAATTACTGGCGCCTCCACACTCTCCCCTAAGCTGGGGAATAGATGTTAATCATCCCTAGCTTGGATGTGAGATCTTCAAATCTGGGTCCACAAAAGCTTTAGTAAGTAAATCAGCTACTTAAGAGTTTTGAGTTAACATGAGAGACTTTGAACATTCCTGAATCTATTTTTTCTTTGATAAAATGTCAATCAATCTCTATATGTTTCATTCTCTCATGTAGAATAGGATTCGTAGTCATTTTTATTGCAGATGTGTTGTCACAAAACATCTTCACAAGCAATGTCAATTCCTTCCTGAGCTCTTTAAGCATCCTCAATAACCAAATACCTTCGCATATCCCATGTGCTAAAGCTCCAATTCAGACTCTGCACTACTTCTTGAAACAACTTGCTGCTTCTCACTTCTCCAGGTCACCAAATTCCCCCAAAGCTACGTGGCATAACCTGTAGTAGATCTACTCTGTTACTGGTCCCCCGTAATCAGCATCAGTAAATATTTCCATGCTCCTACTTCTCCCCAGCCATTTCCAAGAGTCATGTTCAGATAATGTAGAATTCTGAAAACTAAGTGCACATGCTCCTCAATTGGATTACTCATAAACTGGCTTGCCACAGTCACAGGAAAACAGATATCTGGTCTAGTATGGGATAAATAAATCAATTTTCACATGAGCCTCTTGTAACTTTCTGCACCCATAGGTGGAAGAGGAGTTTCACCCTCCTTCATTTGCAACTTTGACTTATAGTCTGGTTTTCTGGGTCATAAATATCCCCACATTGTGAACTGGCATAACAAATTTGAAATAAGATGTTTGATTTCCTTAAGAAGAGTTTGAGTTTCTCAGTTGTTCTTACATGCAATTCTCATAGTTTGAGGGTTTTTTTTTTTTTTTTGGAATAAAGCTAGTTTGAGGGATATGAAAATAGAATGGAATGCAAGAATTTTGAACCTGAAGTTCCTTCCACCACATATTTGGAAGATGATTCTTTTTATGACCTCTGTGGATTTCAGCAAATAGTTTTATCAGGGATATCGTTTTCATTAACATCTTTCTATATCTTAAGAGACTGAATCTAGGATTCTAGGAGATATTAGAGATGTGATATCTAAGATTAAGATCCTAGGAGAAGAAGGGCTACCAAGCCGCCTATATGTATCTACCATCTTTGTACTCTGCATCAATAAGAAAATAACACATTCAGAGGCGGATAAACTCCTCTGTTTCCACATTATTCTGCATATAAAAAACACATTCAGAGGCGGATATACTCCTCTGTTTACACATAAAGCACTGTCAAGTTCAAAAGTCCATTTTTTCTTCCCCCCCCCTGGTCAAGGAGGATTTTTTGTTCTCTGCTTCTGTGTCGTTTTGGATTCTCTCTTCTCATGAATAAACAATAAACTTTTCTTCATTAAAATAAAAGAAAAAAAATGAAAAGTGGTTTTATTCTTCAATATTCAAGCATAGATAGTTTTGCGAAGTATTGAAGCTTTCAAAGTTTCAAACAAAAGGGAAAAAAGATTTTTATTCTCTTTGAATTCAACTTCTTTGTATGTGGAGGGGAGAGAGGAAAGGGAACATGTTTGGGCTACAAATAACTTAGCACAATTAAATTAAGCAATATGCTCATAATATCATAATGGAAGAATGTATAACATTCATCATATAAGCATAATCCAGAGGCAGGGAAATTACTTCTGCAATTTTCTCTTTCAAGTCATCATTCTCAATGGATTCTGACTCTAAATCCTCTTCCTTCAGTGTCAGCGTGATCAAGTCTTTCAAGGGAGCTGATTCTGAATCTAAATCCTCTTCCTTCAGTGCCAGCATGATCAAGTCTTTCAAGGGGGCTGGATCACTTAGTTGTATAGCATTGAAATGTTCAAACCGACTCAGAACTTGCTGATACATAAGCTCTTTGCTGAAAGTGTATTAATACACAAAAATATATTAAAAAAACTATAGAAACACGTAATGTGTTTATGCACCGGCTCTTTTACAAGCTGCAAAAAGAACCATATAAAGCAGTCATGAACCCCAAAGGTAGGGGTGAAAAGTGAGAAAAAGAAACAGATAAGAGAGCCCTATATATAAAGTACAATATTACATCTTCATAGTTCTTGAGGAAGGCAAAACACCTTAGAAAACCAATAATAAAATTCCTAAAATTCACATCTCTCTTAATTTCACAAGCTAAAAGGCTGACCTCATCTATGCAGGACAGCATCACTAAACAAGCAGAGTAGGTTGTTTTATCATATAGACAGGCATACCATATTGACAATTGTTTTCAGTTTACCAAACCATACTATTTCACTCTTGCAAGCTACAATATAAAAGTTACAGAGCATAGATGCTATCAATCTGATGGTTGACTAGCGACAAAAGAAAAGTCCCCTAAAGATCCATGATTTCCTAGGAGGAAAAGTAGCCATTCCACACGTCCTCTGAAGTTAAGGAGTGTATGTCTATCTTGAGCTCTGGGCACAGCCTTGGCGAGTATTCCAGTTGTTTGTAAACGTGTTGGAATGTAGACCATCTCCATTATTACTCGTTCTACCTTTTCCTCCATAAATTGGGGATCAATTTCCACTTATTTGGTTCTTTCATAATGAATCAAACTTTTAGTATTGCTTATTGCACCCATTAGTCGCACAAAAGCTTCATAGATGTTACAGTTGGAAATTTAAGTACTTTAAAGATCCTTGTTGGTCATATCCCTTCACAATGCAAGTTCTGTAGCTAGAAACTTAACTTTGCACTACTTCAAGCTACAACTAACTACTTCTTGCTTCAAACTAGATTAACCAAGACAAAGGTAGTCTTCTGAGATTGACCTTCTATCAATGAGAGTACCAACCCAATCAACTTCAAAAATACTTCCATAGCTTTGCTAGTTCCCATTTAGAAAAAATCCCTCCTCCTTGAGTCAACTTCATGTATCTTAGTACCCTGTTTACAACTTCAAGGTACTCCCTTCATCCCTATATGAGTCACTTTTAACTACTTTACATACACCAATGAAGTTTGTTAAAATTAGTTGAAGTTCTTGAAACTTTCAAAAATTACCAACACTCTTACGAAACTACCCTCATTAAATTGTAACCCCATTTCAATTATGCCTCTCTCAATCCCTCTCTCCATCATTACTCTCATTTATATAGTGAGGGAAAATTTTTGGGGGAAAAAACATTTAATGCTGCCTAGATTTTGTAAAGTGACTTATATTTTGAATATTCAAAATCTGTAGAATGTGACTTCATTTAGGGACAAAAGAAGTATTTTCAGTCAAATTATGCAAGCATAGGCTACGTTTGGTTGGCTAGAAGCATTTTGGTGAAAATGGAACTGGATAAGTAATTGGAATTGGAATAGGAAAGAGATTGGAAATGGATTTTAGAAGTATGTTTGGTATGACAAAGGAAATAGATGGAACCTTGGCATGGTTTTTGTTCGGTTAAGATGAATTAAGCATAGAAAAGGAAAACAAAAATTTGAAAAGACAACAATGCCCTTATCTTTAATTTCATCTTCATAGTTCCTCATCTTCTATTTTCTTCTTCCCATCAATAAAATCCACAAACCAGAATAACCACTAAAGAAGTATAAAATTAATCTAGAATCACCAAGAGGCAGAATCCTCCTTTTCAGCTTGAATTTGAATTTTCACATCTGTAATTTCTCAAGAAACTGCTAGGGATACTTCACACAGTAGAGTAACATTCGGAGCTCACAAGTACTTGGCAAAGGGGATTTTCGAAGGCCAGCCAAGAAAATGTGATGAGTTCACATTCAAGAAGGCAATGCCAATGAAAAAGATGGATATGGAAGCTGAGGAGGTTAGACATGTAATGGGAGAACTCATCGGTGAGTACAAAAGGAATGCCTAAAATCTCATTACCAAGAACTGCAACCATTTCTATTTTGTATTACTAAAACTTCAAGGGGACCCTACCATGTAGAATAAGGCTTCTTGTTGTAAACTTCTCCATGGTCGCCACTAACAAAAATGCTCTCGATATCAAGTTGATGGAGCTTGGGTCAAGATTTTCAACCATGAGCAATGGGGCACATAGATTTGGGTTAAGCTTTTAGCTACTAACCAAGTCTTGTATCTATCAATTCTGAAATCATCTTTATATTTCACAATAAACACTCATTCACATCCCAAGAGTTGCTTACCATAAGTTTTTTAAGTATGCTCCCATGCAACATTATTTTATTTTGTAGGGCACTTAGCTCTTCAATTACAACATCTGTCATCAATTCATTTCAGCAAACTTCTTATTTTGGTAGTGCATGCATCCTTCAATTTCATCAGAGCTCAACCTTGCAGAACTTGTCTTCAACCAATGTATGTTCATCTATTATGTTTGAATGAAACTTCTCTTACCCTAGTTGGGACGAAGAAAAGGAAAACACGATACCATTCAAAGCAACCTCACTAAATACAATTGCACCTACTCTAATTCACACTAAGTAGAAGTAGCCTTTCTAACAGACTAACAAGCTAACAGATCAGTAAAAATCTAATAACTATTAATTCTAAGTGATCCAACTAACCATAAAATATTCATGGTCAATAACTTTCCATTCTTTCCTGTAGATTTTTTTACACAGGACTCAAGAAGATTAGGGGCAGAAGAGAAGTATAGAACAAACAAAACAATATCAACAAGAAGAACAATCAAAGATACAAATTAATCCCACACTTTACAGGATTTGACCTGGGTCTTCAACAATAGATAAACAGAAAAATTGATTCTCTGAAAAATAGGCATAGATTATATCTGTCTGACAAAGCTCCCCCACCCTGTCGTCATCTCCTAAACATATTAACTAGACCACCTATGAACCACAAGTTGGCCAAAATTTAACCTATGACCCCAATTGCAATTGCATGTCTGATTTTAAATGTTCAAACGCTGCAAACAGTAGTGATTGTGTTTTCTTTTAAGAGAAAAAAATATGAAGCGTAAACAACTTCTTAGCATAAACCAGAAATAGCAAAATATCTACCTCAGGTTTACCACATTGGCAAGATATAGATGAGTGTTATATTGAAGCAATGCAAAGACATCATCTGCCATTCCAATATATGTGCAGTTCCTTACAATATCAAGCAAACCTTCAAAGAATGTTTATCATATCAGTGAACCTTTTGAGAAGAAATCATCAGAGAGTCATGAAAGATTAATACCAGAGTGACAGTTGCTATTGATCTCATCAAGAAGCTGCTGAACGCTGGCGTACTCTGCAGAATCTTTTGGGTACCTTCTTTGTCTAACTGAGGACCTGACAAGGAATACTGCAACTCATTTATTTAAGGACAAAGCACTTCATACGTTTTAACCTGTTATAGAATTATCTAAAGATTACATAATTCTAGCATCCAAATACAGCATACAAACTAATTATAAATGTGAAAGGTATTATTTATTATGAATGCCTAAATCCCAATTTATGCAAGGCATTATCCATTTTGTGGGAGTTGAGGTTATCATTATGAAAGGTATTATTTATTATGAATGCCTAAGTCCCAAATCATGTAAGGCATTATCCATTTAAAGCAAGGAGAATCCAAACTCTCAATAATCTGAAAATTTACAGTTCATCTTCCTCGCCATGCTTTGCTGTGAGTCTTGGTCTTGGGTATTCTCATGATTAACATTAAAGTACGCTTTTTCTCATGCTAACCTCCAACATATAATTTTCTTATTTTAACTAGTGAAATATTATTTTTCCAAGCTAAAAAACAACATATTTGGTCATTTGGGCCTAGCAGGCTTTGATAATGAGAAGAATTTCAGAGCATAAAGTCTCCGAATGCTGGTCTTATTGATGGTCAGGGGTAAATGTATAAACAGAAAATAACAATTTTTCCCCTCAATCCCATCAAAGCAGAGTATATAATCATCAATATATTAATATATTATATAGAGATAAAATGGGTTAATGTTGTTATTTTACTATCCAATGGCATAACTTTTGATTTAATTTTTCTGAACGCTATATAATTTTAAATATTTCAATCTCCATGGAAATGACTGTAGTTGTAACTAGTTTGAAACAAAAATATGCGGGCAAAATGTGTGTGTGTGTGTGTGTGTGTGTGTGTGGGCAAAACAAAAACAAAAAAAAAACAAAAATACAACAACAAGGCAAGGTCTTAGGAGCTAAATCAGTAATTAAAAAAAAAATTAACACAATTGAGTAACAAATAAAACGGAATAATTGCATAGGATTTGCAACACTTAACAAAAGGCTTCAAATAAGCAGAAAAAGTACAGGAAGCAAATAAAAATCACCTCACTGCAGTCAAGCTAGCACTCTTGTCAAGATGTCCAATTGGCTGGGGTTCCATGTAAGCATGCAATCTTCCACAAGGATTCAATGAATCTGTTCTAACCATTTTATGTACTGGAATTTTCTGTGATTTTGAACCTGTGATTAACAAACAAATATCATATGCTTAATGAAGCATGTTCAGGCACTTACTAAAACAAAAAACCTGCAACACAATAAGGAAGAGCAATTTTGCAATACCTGGCACCAAGAGACTGAGGTTAGCCTCCTTGCATGGTTTCATATAACACGAAGAGGATGGTTCAGCGTTCTGTCACAAGAGAGAATAAAATCAAATTTCATGAGAGCATTAATGGAGTATAGCATGATCAAACAGATCAAAAATTGCTCTCATAATTAAAGAATTTGAAGAAAAAAATTAGCAATAAAAGTAAAATGAAGAAAATTTAATTCTTAAAAATGATGCAGAATCTGGTCAAAGTTACTTCAAGTCAAAATTTTCAAAACTTGAAGCTTCACTTCTATAATAAAAAAAAAATTATAAACAAGCCACAAATCATTTTGTGAAATAAAGCAGTGCCAAATAGAATAAACTGTACTTGATCCAACACTCTCTATGTGAATCCTTTTATTCTAAACGACCATTGGTAGAGTGAATGTTCCACTAAATTATCAAACCTCATTGTAAATTTAAAAAGATGAAAAAGAAAAAACAAGGGATAATGCTTGACAATCTTGACATGAAATAATCTCTAGCAAATTATTAAGTTGCCAGTCCCAGTAAAAGCTAGCACAGCTAACCATGAGAAGAAACCCCAACTCCAGACATTGCTGAAACATATCACTGGAAAATGGTAAAAGGTTTTGATATTTGCATAAATATATTTCCACATAGTTCAAAGAAGCAACTACTACTCACCATGCTCGTAATAAGCAGATATTACTAATATTCCGAGCAGTACCTCAAACCTGGAGTTCTGACCCGTAAGACATACCTCTTCTTGAAATGTCCGCATATCATTTGAACTTCTCAATCTTGATTCAACCAACGTTTGTATCTTCTCGATGATAACTTCCTGATTTAAAAGGCTTACCTGCATGACCAAGAAAAACATTGTTTTCAATAACAAAGATCTTGAAAATGCAAGGATGCAAATCCTACTAAATATTGAAAATATATTCCAACAGCTACAAGTAAAATATTGCCAGGAATAAAGATCTACCATGAAGTTACCAATTTAAGTTAATGTGAGTATGATAAGATCCAAGATAGCGTGCCCATAAAGATTTATTCAAGAAGGAAGCATCAAAAGATAAATTAAGATAAATCATGATAGATTATTTGATCCAGTATTTTATTTAGTGTTTCCCTTTATTTAGTTTTTATTTAGATTTCCCTAGATTTTATTTGTGTAGATTTAATTCAATGTTTTAGATATTTAGATTTTATCTAGTATTTTAGATTTCAGGAAATTCTAGTTAGTTATCTAGATTTTATTCAATATTTTATATTGTATTTAGCATTATAAACATGACTAGCAACTTAGAAGCTAGTATATCAGCATCATCAATAAAACAGTTTTTTAAACCCTTTGGAGATTCTCCTAAGCATAGCTATTGAGAAAAATATAGGACGAGATACTTGCTTTATATTTTCTTGATAGATTTATTTTCCCTATTTTCTCTTGTTCTTCTGAGTCCTATCAGAGTAGGAGGAGCTTTCGCCCCTTAAATAAGGGGTGGGGGTTTGATTCCCAACCTTTATACTTAGAGTAAATTTAGTCAAAAGAATCTACCGTTTGCCTTTAGTATCTTGAGGGAGATTAATATTTGCTATTGGCAAAGAATAATCCTAGTGTCTCACCCAAATAATAATAATAATAATAAAGATATAGAGTTTACATTTACAATTTAATAAGGAATGGCATGTAGGATAATCAACTAATTCAAAAGCCTAAGCTACTAGAGGGAATAGGGACCTAATTAATTATTATAACAATTCCAATTACAGCTTGAGCTAAGAGGCCAGCCTATTCCAGAAGATTTGCTCAGTAAGCAGGAGAGCCAGGGCAATGTCCAGGGATTCCTAGGCTCTGAGGTAAGTAACTAAAGATGCTTAGGGCGATGTTACTTAATACATATCAATTATAATATTATTCTTCTAGCTTTTGAGCTGTGAAATCATTCATTAAAGTTTTATAACCAAGTAATTCTGACATTTCACTTTGATGATGCAGATAACCCATTTGATCTTAAATATGATTTAATCAATTTTAATTTTGAAAAACTTATTTCAGCAGTAGCAACTACTATAGGTATTGTTAATGATATTCTACAAGAAACGTGTGTATTTGGAAAAGAATCTAATCTCTTGGTATGGTTTAACACTTCTATAGGAGTACGAATTTATTTTGTTACAACTTCGCTCAATACTCTCAATTTAAAAAATAAATCAGGACCATCAATACCAAAATATTCACTGCAACTTTAAAAACTTTCTAAGATTGGAACAATAATTTTTTTCAATTCATCCTCATCCATACATTTAAAACTCAATGCTTTTTTTAATTTTTTATAAACTTCTCTTTTATTCATTTCACTTGATACTGTACTAGCCACCAATTTTATTGGGCATAATCTGTAGGATGTCTGTAATTCTGATAGAAAGAGGAAGAGAGTAGAGAGAGAGAGGCAAAAGAAGGAAACAGAGCGAGAAGAAGAAGAGAAACAGGGAGAGAAAAGAACAGGGAGGTTTAGAGGAATTCTGAACAGTACGCTGGACATTCTCATCCAAGGTAAATCATAATCTGATTTACAAAGGTGTAGCTATTTATAGTTTCCTATTCCTACCCATGCTCACCAACAGCTACTTTATTAAATAACTAACCTGTCATAATTACAATTATGTAACATAATCTAACACTTTTTTTATCGAGGCCTACACATATTAAATACTATTAATACCTATATGCATTAAGGGCTTTACATACTGATCATATATGCACACACACATATATTGAGGGCCTGGTATAGAGCAAGGCCCCATGTAGTCGCCTATTTCGCTTAACCTGCCACATGGCCCTAAGAAGAGCCTCAAAGTTTAAGTTCCCCTAAAGGCATCCATTTTCACTTAATGTAGAACATTACATTACAGAACCCTTCAAAAGCCAAAGTACATGAGGCCCCTCTCTTGGAAGCTTTTGATAGGTGCCCAAGGGGGATGGGAAACTCTGAAAAGTTAACCACTAAGGCGAGAAAACCAGCACTCTCAATTAGCCATCCTTGGAAAGCCAAGATCCCAACTACACTTTGCAAGACTGCGACAGTTCACCAGATGACATTTCACTCTACTTTCTCACCAATCAAAATTTACATAAATCTTTTCAAAGTTGTCCATGGTGAGCTTTGATACCAATTGATAGGCACCCAAGTGAGGTAGGAAACCCTCCCAAAAACCAGCCATTGAGGTATAAGAATCAACTTACTTTGATACCACATAGAGAATATCATACTACTCAACATAAGACTTGGGCATCTCACACCACCTTCATTTCCATCAATTGGCCCTCCCTAGAAGAATCTTTAAATCTAAATGGAAATGCACACTGAAATTATAAATAGAAATCGGTATGCTCGAGTCTAACCTTGCTAACATAGCTATGGTTCCCTTGAATAAAATAATGATGAGGAAGATTCTGGTTAAATTGATAAAGCGATGCACCAAAGATTAGTAGGAAAATTACTATATTTTTTCACAATCAACCTGATACAGTTTTGCAATGAACATCTCAAGCTTGTTCAAAATTACGCTACTGAATATCATGTAGAAGCAATAAATCAAATTCTGCAATATCAAAAAATGACACGAGGAAAAAGGTAGTTTTCCAAGAAAGTTACCAAAAGATGCATAGAGTTGTGTGCTTATAAATGTTGATTGGGTTGGATCTCTCATTGATAGAAGATCAATATTAGGTTACCATGCCTATGTTTAGGATAACCTAGTTACTGGCAAGAGAAAGAAGCAGGCATAGCTTGAAACAAGCTAAGGCTGAATTTAGAGCTATGACTCATGGAATATGTGAAGGTATGCAGTTAAAAAGGCTTCTTAAGGATATTTTGTTGTTGTGAACTCCTTTTAGTGCTAGGGACTTTCTTGGAAACTTGTTCTTTACTTAGGCCTATAAATAGAGGCCTCACCACACTCATAAGATATCAAAACATTTATTTAAAAATAATACAAATTCTCTAACTCTTTCCAATATGTTCTCTCAAGACAGAAATTATGGTCAGCAAAGAATTTATAAACAGATGCTGACATGCATGCTCTAATTAGGCCTGTACTAGTTACCTCTCTCTTTGTTGGATGCACATTTACATCAACATTCTCAGGAGGTAACACAATTGTCAAGTATACAAACGGTTTAGAAGCTTTGGGCAATGTTGCTGAATAAACAACTTCAATTGCTCTCTTCAATGCAGAACACTCAACCAATCTATCTGAGGAACAAGAAGAAAATTTTCTTGAGAACCCGTATACTTTGTTCAGACAAAACAAAGCTGAAAATAAAAGAAAATAGATTTCCAATGTAAATGATAAGATAGCCTTTTTAAGCATTGAATAAAGTTAAAAAAAAAAAAAACAGAGAGCTGTCAGTCCAATCTCTCTGTATATCAATCAAATACACTTCCTTGCGCCATGGAATAGATCAATTAAATAGACTTCCTTGAAGGCACCATGAAAAATGCACCAAAAAGAAAAGGCTCATAACATCAGAAAAACAGCAGTGTCATAGCATTATGTCCTGCATCCTGGAACCAACGTAACTTGTCAAGATTTTTTCTTTTTTTTTTTTCCTTGCAAGATTAAAGGAATGCTAACAGATAAAGAATTTAGGGAAATCTTGTAGGTTAAGAAATTAGCTGCTTGTATTGAGCCTCCCCTCCCCCAAACCAGAAAAGGAAAAAAAAATAGAGAGAAAGAAAAAAATGTGGGGGGAAGGGGAGCTGCTTGTAGTGCACCAAATGTAAGAGTTATAGATGTCTCTGGTTACAGCAATAGTGAAAAAAAAGGTTAAGGGGCAATGTAATACATCCCATCATCAATTTCAATAATAAGTTCTACTTGATGTCCATTCCTTTTCTCCCTCACTTTTGATGAGGATAATTCTGTTTCTTTTTCAGGCCAAGTGTTTCTTAAAATAGGAGTCCAGGATAAAAGGAGCCTTCAAATATTTTATGGTTAGCTTTAAGCCTGATCATCATCTTTTGTTGGGATTTGAGTGGTGAGGTTTGCTGCTGCCTTTCCACATTTGAACATTTTCACTTCAATAATGTCAAGTTCAAATGAAAGTAAAACCATGAATTTCTACAAATTAAAGTGTTTCTCTAAAAGCAAAAGACACCGAGAAAGCTAAATACATAATTGCATGTTAATGACACGCGTGCTTGCATCCACAACACATACCATTGATGAAAAGAACCATTGTGATCTTCTTGGCAGCATAATCCGCATTAGAGATGAAACCATGCATCTCAAAAGGTGAACCAGACGGATCATCATTTGAAGCTTCAATTTCCATCAAATTGCGAGCAACTGAAACACCATAAACAGATCCAATGGCATCAAGCCTTGATGAAGTAGCAACAGTGTGAACATCAGCTCTCATAGCTCCATGCTGAATGCAACGAGAGGAAAAATGTGCAAAGAAAATTAGTAGGAAGAACATAATATGTGGCAAAAGAATGCAGAGAACAGGTTTATCCCTAAAGACACTGACCTTTCTACAAGAGAAACCAACATTTATGTGATGTATGGCAAACCGGCTAATCAAGTCTACAATCTTTGAATAGTCATCAACAGAATTTTGAAATGCCTTCCTCCTTGCAGCCATATTATAGAATAAGTTCTCAACCTTATAACAAAACCAGAAGAATTTCAACTCAGAAAAATAAGTCCAATCGCATATTTAGAGTATATTTTCTGAAGACAATTTAGTTAAATGGAGAATAATAAAGACAATAATGCTCAAGTGTAAGACTTACAGCAATTAGCAAATGAAGGATAACACAAGGAATGCGGTCATTTACATAAAGGCAAGGATAGCCTTGGAACAAGTTGCACATACACATACACATATATTATGCAGCTATATTAAATAGAAAAACATAATCATAAATGTTTAATGAGACTGACCCTTGTACTCAGGCATTTTTCTTTTTCCTTTTCAGTAATGTCTTCAGTTAAATTCTATAGATGATTCCAAGCAACTGTGCACCAGTACAGCAAAAAGACTTTTTCTTTTTTTTTTCATGCCAACACAGCAAAAAGACTTGTTCATACCATTATCTGGGTTCCTTTTACAGCAGCGCAAGCCTTTGGTTCATGCTCCATAACACCATCTCTATATGATACCCTGAACCAAAAATTCAGAACAAGTCAACAAAAAGTCGTAAAATTTAGATGGATGGCCAAAGTAGAGAAGATAATAAAATCATAACTGACTATGGTAGCAAAATTCTACACGTCCTCAAACCACAAGCAAGTGAAAAACATGATAACTGGGATTTTTCTACATTTGTATTATTTATATCTTTATATTAAACTGTCATTCACCTGTAACCATGCAACTGCCCTTTGGTGATGGTCGTGACTGTAACATGACCAACATAAGTCATGCTTGCCAAAGCCTCTCCCCTAAATCCCATTGATTTAATGGACTGTAAATCCTCAAATGCAGACAACTTTGATGTTGTATGCCTCTCGCACAATATGCTCAGGTCCTCATACTGCAGGAACGCATAGCAAAATAATCACAAAAAAAAAAAAAGTCATTCAAAATAGGGGGGATATCTATCTTTATACCAAGAACAGTTAAGTTTTGAACAAAACATTCCTAGTTATGCATAATAACCGAGCAAAGACTGCTAGTTCAAAGAGTTTGATTATTCCAAAATCATGTAAGAAAATAAAAGGAGTGAAACAACCGATTTTCTCTTTAGCCAGACTGTAATTATCCAAATGAAAAATAGGGCACTACTACCATAGAAAATTTTTCCATTAAAAATAGGTACTATAAAAACTAAGGGGGGAAGAGATAGAACAGTTCCTGATTTATCTGGAACAAACGAAAAGTACGAAAAATATTGACAATGTGCAGAAGAACCCACTCGAATGCCATGGCCATCATCGGACACTTGGATAAGTTTGAGGCCGCCGTCCTTAATCGTGACGCTTATGGAGGACGAGTCCGCGTCAATGCTGTTCTCAACCAGCTCCTTGACGGCGGAGACCGGGCGCTGGATGACCTCACCGGCGGCGATTCGATTGACGACAGACTGGTCGAGTCGGTGAATCTTGGGAGGCTCTTTAGGCAGCTGCTCTTCAACGTTCATTGGCAAGGGTTCATCACCGGCATGCGATTCCATGGCTATTGGCTTGGCTTGTCCAGTTCAGTGTCCCCGCCTTCCCGGTAGGGGAGAAGAAGGGCTTCAGTGGGAAACCCGCCAAAAGAATTAATGTCATGAGAGAGTTAAAAAAATAATAATAATAATAATAATAATAATAAAGAAATAAAAAAAATCGACGCAATTTAAAAAAAAAAACAGAGATTTTTGCAGTATAACAATATAACTCATGATATAAAATCAAACCAAATAAATAACTTAATATTTATTATATTTTATATTATAATTAATTTATTTTATTTTTAAATAATATATTATTATTTATCAATAATAAATTTTTTGTAGATTTTTAATGATAAATTTTTTGTATTCCAATGATAAATTATTGATGGAATTGCAATAAAAGTTTTAAAGTGAGTATAATTGCAGATAAGGCCTAAATAATTTTAATATATCTCTAAAGGCCCTTACAATTATGTTCAATGATGCAATGACCTAATTACCCCTCATATTCAGATCACTCCTTAACTCTTTTCTTCCCTCTCTTCTTTTTCCTCAATCTCCCTTCTTTCCCTTCCTCTTCCACGCTACTTCTATGTTGTTTTTTGAACAATTTTCTAATAAAGGTAGTGCTTATGACAATAGATCGGAGGGTGAATCTGATGTCATGCTTCCTTTCACTAATACGATCCTGAATTGTGGGTAGCTGATGGCAAACTCACCATTACCATAAGCCATAGTATAAGAGTGGATCGTGTCTTGTTCTACATTATCTAAATTCTCACCAATATAATACATTTAATTGTGATTATATTTCTGTAGCACTGTCATAGTAGATTCTTTGAAGAACATCATATCATCATTTCCTTACACTTTTTAAGCCATGCTTTTTTTTTCTCGTCCTTTTATTTTGTTGTAAATATTTCACTTATCACAAACTATGTATTTAAATAGAAACTTTGTTATGTTGTAAATTTCATATGGATTACTTGTAAATTTCATCTTGCAAATTTCAACTATAGCATGATTGTTGATTTTATTTTTATGTATATTACCTAAAATTTGATGCAAAATTTCATGTCAGTAGTTGTTTTACAAGAAGGATTAGTATTTATTATATTTTGGTGAGCTAAGAGTTTAGCTGAATGATTTAAATGATATCATTCGTGCTTACTAATGAAGTGGTGACAATGGTAGTCCTAACTCATTTAATATGTACATGAGGTAATAGGGTGCATATAAAATGAACTTTTTGTTGCACAAACTGCACTGTAATGCTATTAAAATTGGAATTTCATTTGTGATTTTATTGCTAATATGAGATAAGGGTTGCTGAACTATGTAAATTGTAGAAGTTTTAGAGTAGATTAGTTGTTGTACAATAATGATAGTTGACTTATTTATATTGGACTTTGACACGTGAATTAAATAAAATATAACCCAATATGAAGAAAATCTACTATTAAAAATATTGAAATATTTATTGTGCAAAAATGAACTTTAAATTATTGGTGTTGAGCGTTGAGTTGTGTAAACTAAAAATTAGGTTTTTGTATGTAAACTTTTTCTTAGATTAATTTATTCATTGCAGGGTAATATAAGAGACGTCAAATAGTTTTAGAAAGAAATTATTTTGTTCCTTCCATTATAGTGGTGAAATTGTGAGGAGTGTTAATAATAGTATGAAACAGGAGAATGGAAATGTCATTGCAAGAACAATAATAGAATGATTAACATATACAGAGCTGAGATCATTGTTTAAGATGTAGGGAGGCAGGGCATAGTCTTACAAAACATGCAAAAATCCTAATACAGCATGAGAAATACTCACATTCTACTTTTTTAGTGTACATAGGCAATTATAATTATATATATAGAATTATTCCCAAGTAATATTTTTTAGGTAACTAGGAATAACAGATATTTTTTATTTGTGTATAGATAAGCAACTCTTAGATGTTTTGGATATAATTACTAACTTTTTGTATATATCAAACTTGAAATATCATATCAAATTTTATGTGGATACTTGTTTTAGTAGCTAGGCCAGTACCAACATTAAATTATCCATATCTGATGTAATTATCCTTCTTATTTCAATGAAAGTTTGTTGCTTACTTTGGTCTATGTAAGTTGAACATTTTATTAAGCCTACTAATAAAGTGGGCACGCATGAACTTTTAGTTGAAAGTATATGAATGTTGTATTGTGCATAATGAATATTGTGTTGTACTTTGTCTGCTTAACTTATACATTTTTAAGCCTAATCTACTGATAAATTGAACACGTATGGACTTTCAGCTAAGAGTATATGAGCATTGTGTTTTGCATAGTAGATATTGTATTGTACATTATCTGTCTAACCTCAACAAGTATGGGTAGGTGATCCACTTTTATCCAAATGGCTATGGAGAGGACAATAAGGTGTTCAACCAACTGCATTTCTCTTATGCCAACAAGCTTCTTGGAATGATCCGTCATAGTATGAAAAGAATGGATCAATTTTTAGGGTTGAGGTGCAATTTTATCTTTAAATTATTCTCAAAGTAGCAATATTTTCCTTAAACTATTCATCATAGCAATGTTGCCTCTAAACTAATCAAATCGAAGCAATGTTATCCTTACCATTTAAACATTCGTTACTATAGCTAGTGGGACCCACTGTTCATGAGTTAAGGTACAATTTTACCCCTAAACTATTCCTAAAAGAGCAATGGTACTCTCACCATTTAAAAATAATAAAATTAAATAAAAATAAAATTATAATAATATTAAATAAAATAATGTTAAATGTATATATAAATATAAAATTATAATAACATCAAATAAAGATAATATTAAATGTATATATAAAAATAAATATAAAAAATATAAATTATAATTTTATAATTTATCAAATATAAGTAAATTTTGATTAAATTAAATATGAGTAGATTTAAAAGTATTTGCATATACACCTATAACTATCAACCAGAGCCGTCGTTAACAACTCGATTTAAACCAAAAAATTTTCTTTCATGATTGAGCTAGATCGGATAAGAGTTAAGCTACTATTAAGTCAAAAACTGAAGTTGAATTGAGAACCGAAGCGATTTTTTAAAAATCAGACAATTTTAAACACAATATTAAACAATGCTTAAAAGATTTTAAAAGATAGAAAAAATAAAAAATTAGATCCTATTAAAAGTCAACTTTATTTTTGAACCATTCACATATATAAAATATAATTTGAGACCATTTTTTAATAAAGATGACAATAGCTATAGATACCAATGTAAATACTTTTGAGTCTACTCAAGCCTGATTTAACCAAGATTCACTTATATTTCACAAGTTATAAAATTATAGTTTATATTTTTTTATATTTATATTATATATACATTTAATATTATTTTTATTTTATAAAATTATAGTATATATTTGTTCTTATACTTATTTTATATGTACATTTAATATTATTTTTATTTGATGTTATAACAATTTTATATTTATATATACATTTAATATTATTTTATTTAATATTATTATAATTTTGGGTAAAAGGGCAAAAATACCCACAAAGTAATTAACCACGGGCACTTAGTATCCTAAAGTGACGAAAAGAGCAAAAATACCCATAACGTTATATAGATAGGTATAAAAGTAACCAAACCATTTACTTTGACTTAGTGTCATTGATTTTGATCGTTAAATGCTGACTGTACATGTTACTTGTTAGTCTTTCTTGATGTGGACTAAAAAAGGGGTCACAAAGTCATCAGCTAAGAACAAAAATATTTATAACATTATCAGAATTGGTGCAAAAGTGACCAATACATCCAATCCCCTAAATGTTGAGTGTTTACTTGATACCTAAGTAGAAGTTGACTATTTTTTTGCTGATGTAGACAAAAAAATATTTCAAAATAAATTTTTATAAATGTTAATCAATCATTGTATGAGTACCTATAATGTTATTTTAATAAGTGCAATAGTGACTAATCCATTAAAATCAATGCCATATGATTTCTTTCCATCACCATGTATCTCGCCCCCTTCCTTTCTCCCTAGCCACTCATTTTTTTGTCTACAAAACTTAAGATTTAACATAGTGGGATAGGTTGTTCAAAATCAAAGATTAAGACTGAGCACATCTAACTTAAGAACATTATTACCATCTCAAACAATTGTATTCACAATAGATTTCAAAATTTTCAAATGATTTTCACCACTGTTACAAAAAAAAACAAGCAATTTAATTTGATATTTAGTTAAAATGACATTTTCTCATATGATATTTATATAATAATCGATTAACTTTTGAAGAATTTCATCTAGGAAAATTTTTTGTCTGCATTAGTAAAAAAAATATCAGCTTTTGCTTAGGTGTCAGTTAAACAGTTAACATTTAAAAGATTGAATGTATTGGTCATTTTTGCACCAATTCTAGTAATGTTTTGGGTATTTTTGCTCCTGGCTAATGATTTCGTAGGTATTTTTGCTCCTTTTTTAGTCTACGTCAGCAAAGACCGACACATGGCATACACAGTTAGTATTTAACGATCAAAATTAATGGTGTTAGGTCAAAATTAACAGTCTGGTTACTTTTGCACTCGTTCATGTAACGTTATGGGTATTTTTTTCTTTTTTGTCACTTTAGGATACTGGGTCTCGTGGCTGACTATTTTGTGGGTATCTTTACCCCTTTACCCTATAATTTTTTATTTAATTTTATAATTTTTAAATGGTGAAGGCAACATTGCTCGTTTGAAAATAGTTTAGAAGGCAAAATTACATTCTAACTCATGAAAAGTGAGTCTCACTAGTTATAGTAACGGACATTTAAATGATAAAGGCAACATTGCTCCGATTTGATTAGTTTAGAACAACATTGCTATGATGAATAGTTTATAAGCAACATTGCTCCTCTAAGAATAATTTAAGGGCAACATTGCACCTTAACCCTTGGTTTTAACATAGAAGCTAATGTAGCTATTGCATATTGCGAACACATCACCACTTTTGAATAGTTTTATTTTGTCAAAAGAGAACACAGAGAGAGTTTAAGCCATATCAGTTTTATCCAATCATAATGCACATATTTATGTTCATTTAA